TTCAGGCTTGGCTTATCTCTTTGGCTCTTAGCCTTTCTCATTTAGATTTTAAACCTACTCTAATGCAGACTGAATTCTCGTATGAATTCCCTCGCAGCACTAATTAAGATGAGTATTAAAAAATTCATATGATGTTTGTTCCAATTGTTGTTCCATGAAATGTTATTAATCCTCTCGAAAATATATCATATATATAGAGGATGCAGCTGCTATTTACCTCAATAGCGATTGCGCAAATTATTTAGTCATAAATCTCATAGAAACGAGCTGCGTGGTAAAGCTTCGATGATTATTTACTAACAAATGGCTCGTAATAATTGCGGCTCATGTTGCTAACACAGCAAAGGCAAAACGAAAAAAATAGGCTTCATTAAATACAAATGTGCTTGGCAAACGACCAACCCACAAAAACCCCAAAACCCAAGCCCAAAAACGAGCCTAACAAATGATCTATACATATGCACATGTGTGTGGGCCTGTGAGACTGTATGTGTATGTGTGTTTGTGTGTTTATTTGTACGCTTGATGAGCTACACTCGTAGAGAGCTCTGTGGCCTGAAAATTGTGTTACCTATTTATGAGTATTTCATGAGTTTCTGTTGTTTTGGCTTTTGTGTTTTTCGAAAATGCAAAAAGAAAGGAAATATGAAATCGAGAGACTAACAGTGTACTTCTATGCAATTTGTGTGCAAAGGCCAAGGTTATGTAAGATGCTTAGGTTGAAAATTTGGTAGCAGATAAAAATATTTTGTTGCACTTAATCGTGTGCCTTCAACTGGGGCATACTATTTGCAAAGAGCTGTGCCCAAAAATTTCCTAACTATTAGGTAAAATCTCCTGTCCGTATGAATGTGTGACGGTGTATGCGTATGAAAGTGTATACATGTGGGTTAGAGCCTATCAAACTCGCCAATTACGAACACATGAGCGCTTTTTTCTTGGCATTTGCCGGCCAATTTTTGCTGTTAAATTTATTGTGCGTAAAATGTTGTGCAAATTCTGTTTGGCCACTAGTGCTAGCCGAAATAGGGCTTGTGTGAAAAGGGAAGAGATAGAACAACTTACAACAAGTAAGTCGCTTTGTGTATGTGCAGAAATGAATATAAATATTTATTACTTGGCGAAAAATGACTTTTGTGTGGCAGTCTCTGCTTGCTTGTCTCTAGGTTTGAGCTTTCGAAATGCTTTTTATATGTAAATGCGGCAAGTTAAGAAGTTTGCGCCTCCAAGAAGCATTGACCCATTTAATAGTTGCCCTAAACTGTGCGCAGTTATGGTCAAGATTGCCGAGCATTTAGAGCGACTTAGCCCAGTTACCATAGCAATCAAATGATGCATTCAAGCAAGTAACTAATGGCGCTTTCTTATAGAAGGATAATTGCAAACTAACCCAGCGGGCAGATAATATGCAAGCTGTTCAGAGCAAATTTGGTTGAGCTTTAATTTACTTAAAGCGCATAGCGTGTTCAAAATTGAATAATGCAAGTTGAACAGTATATCAAATACAATAATGTACTTCCATATATATATAATACTTAAAGATAACTACGGCTGATAAGCGAGGGGCCTAAGGACTAACAATATTTTGTTTAAAGTAATTTTTGGTGATATATTTTATTATTGAATTGCCGATACTTGATTTCTGCTGCGCCTTGAATCGTAGCCACGAACTGCCTGAACTTTACCACGATTGGCCATGATTAACATCTCAAATTGCCCTAAAGTTTATGCACACGATAAACATTTACAGTTGACACCATAAACGCACAGATCAAGGCGCATATATATTACATACTATTTCCTATAAATATATGGCACATCATATAAATGCAGTAAACCAAACGCTGTACAAATATGTGACTCGCATTTGCAATAAACAATGCCGCAGACGACTTTCGGCTTTAATAGACTTATTTACCTGGCGCTCAGACACTCGCAGACCACAAAGAACTTTTATCATAGACATTCCTAAAGATATAGGTGCCTAGGAGTGTGCGTAGGCGCATTTATTCATGTATTTGTATGGCTAGACAGGCGGCAGGCACCAGATAATCATTTCATTTTACAACTTTTTTTATTTGGCCCCCTCCCCTGACAAAAACTTGTGAGTTCTCTTTGTCGCGTTAGGTTAGGTGTTGTTGTTGCTGTATTTCGTTTTATTGCGGCGTTTATATTTGTTGTCAGGAAATACCTTTGTATGCTCACATTCGATAGATACAATCGCAGCACGCAACAATTTGCACTTCTGAATGTAGCCTGAACTTCAAACTTTCTGTATGTAGCTTTGCCACTTCGAGTGTATGTGAATGCGCGTGTGTGTCTGACTGTATTTGTGTGTTATTTATAAGCATATTTTACCTTTCATGCATGCACACAGCTGCCACGCCCCACACTCCAATGCCTTGTTCTCGAGCCTTGTGTGTGATTTTATTTATTTCCGTTTTGCTTGCCTGCCAAGTTGGCACCTGTTCCAGCCATAAAGATTATAGAGAACGGATCCAAATCTGTGCAGCCAAAACAGATACCGTTACGTAGAGGAACGTGAAAACTTTAAAAGATTTTCCGTAACCCAAACAAAGGGAACTGCCCACTCTTCGGCCCGTCCGTCTGTCTGCCTTTCAGTTTGTTCACGTGCCGTTTCCTGCTTTATAACAATAAAATATACTTTTCTCTGTTTGAATACATTCTTGGTTTGCCAACATCCTCTCAAACTACAGGTTGTATTTTTGGGCTCTTTTACTCTTTTGAAAAATTATTGCATAGAAACAATTTTGTTGTTTTTGCAATTTGCAGTCACTCAAGGATTTGCTGTGTGTTTTGTTTGTTTTGTATATCTATTTGGCCAAGGTAGTTATTCTTGCAAAAACTTAGTTTCACAGTTGTTTGATTAAATTTGTGGTTTCTGTGGTTCCCACTATGCACATTGTCTTCGGCTAGGGCCAAACAGCCTGCGTAGTCTTACGACTGTCTAGAAAAATATAAAGATAAATAAAGTTTTAATTGGTGGTCTTTGCAAGTGGATAACACCATGGGGGGAAGCAAAGGTTGGTGGTTATTATGGGAAGTGCAAAATTAATTAAATATACTCTGACCAACCACAACGTGGTGAGAATTCACAAAGTAAAATTATACATCATAACTCGAACATCTGATTATCAAACGCTTTGACAGCACCGCCAATGCAAGGGCGGAAACGGATGTTGTTGAACTTGAAAGCCTCAATAAATATTTTTATTTATGTATTTTGGATGAAGATGTTTCGGAAATGAGTAGCCCTAGTCTTTGTTCCAATGCGAACGTTAATTATGACATCGGTTTATAAGAGACTACGAAATTCACCAGATATATTAGGCTTATGAAACAAATGCAGATTTTATATTGCCAAATATTATTATTTTTGTAGATCTTTAAGACAGAAAAGCTTTAGTAGTATATTCAATTCACTTAAGATAATACTGTAATCAGTATATATATACATTTTTTAGCTAACAATTGGACAGCTTTTCTTAATATTAAAGTAATTATTTCGAAAAGGGATATAATAATAAGAATACTTTGAATACAATACTCTGCCTGTTTCCTCAGCTTATCGTATGTGGCCCAAGCAACAACTTACATGTTTAAACAATAATTCTTAATTGAAATGCTGCGGGGCAGCTTCTGAGTTGTATTACCACAGACAGACAGTATGGCCAGACAGAAGGGCAGGAGATTCCTAGTTGAACATTTGCAGTGACAGCATTTGGCCAGGCTATAGCTCATGAGCTTACCAAGCAAGTCGTATCAAGCCCAACCCCCCATCCCCCCATATTCTCACCACTCGAACCCACCCAACAGTTCTGCTTACAATTTTGCCGGCACTGCAAGCGAGCTGAGCAGAAATTAATTACATTGAAGTCATTTATCAAGAAAGTTTATTTCTTGCTGCCGGCCCAGGGTACGTCGGCGGGCGAGATACACGTCGGAGAACAAGTACGGGGAGTACGGGACCCCAAAAAAGCCAAGCAAACCAAAAGCAAAACCGAGGCAAACCTCGAACCACAAGGCGTCAGTTGTTGTTTACTTTTGGTTAGTTATTTGCTGTTGTTATGCTTATTTTTATTTATTTGGCCAGCCCATTGTTAGTGCGAAGTAAATCAATAAATGAGACGGAGCTTAGGATACTTTTTTGTGTTTTATTGGTTTTTTCCGCTTGTTGTGTGGCTTTGTGTGCTCTTGTTGTTGTTGTATTCTAGCCTGAGGTTTGGCAAAAATAATTGCGAAACTTTAGCGGCAATTCGCAAATTGTTTGCTGCATTTTCGATTAGCAAAATGTCAACTTGAAATGACAATGAAAAGGAAAATTAAAATAAAAATGAAAACGAATGTGAAAAGGCAAATGCTCGAGCATTTTCGCCAAATAGCAGTTAGCCCGGCAGGTCAGCGAGCGGGTTGAAGCCATTTTGAAAATTTCATTTCGCTGGCTGTTAGAAAATTGGCAATACCCAAAACAACTTTGAGCTGCCACTACATGGCAGCAATATCCATCACGGACTAACTGCAGGGTACTGCCCAAGCTTGGCCATATACAAAAATTGGTTTAATCAACTGTGAAACAACTGCAGCAGCCGTAGCAGTAGCAGTAGCAGTAGTAGTCGCAGTGGCAGCAGCAGCTATAGCACTAGCGAAAATAGCCACTAAAAAAGAAAACAACAAATACATGAACAGTGACAAGAACGGCAAATCGTTAGAGCTTGGCCGGGTTAGACGTGTATTGACAGCAGCCAAGGGCTCGGGAGTTGGCTTCATTTACGCGAGCTGCTGCGTAGGTCATGTCAGGCCATAGCTCTGACTATGCACATACATGCATATATATAGTACATATCGATTCACTTTCCTTGTCGATGCACAGCGTTGCTGCGCATAACGTTTGCCAATTTAGTTTTTGTATTTGTTTTTATTTCAATTTTCAACTTCACGTCAATATTCACATAGATTTGTTTCTATATCGACATTTGCAGCCAACGACAACAGCATCGCATAAAATATGGACGCCGAAGCCGATGGAGTGCCTCCAACGGCGCCAGCTGCAGCTGCAACCACGGCGAACAGCGATCTGGATCTGGCCGCCCGCCGTCGCCTCTTCATCTCACAGCCCTCGACGCTGGCGACACGCCGCCAGCAGGCCGTCTGCGTGAGGCGCGCCCATAAGATGTATGGCGGTGGCAAAAATCCAAATATTGTGCTGGATGGCCTGAATATGACAGTGCCCAAGGGCTCCATGTAAGTAGTGCTCGCTGTTTAGAGAAAAATTTTTAAATGGCGCAAAATCGTAACTTTACATGCTTAAAATAATTCGAAAAATCTGAAGAAGTCAAGTATTACATATATATCCCAAACTGTTTAAATATTCAAAATTATTATTATTCTTAAATTCATCTGAGTATTTCAAGTATATTTGGGTCAGGCTTTTCTGTATTAAACAAAGCAGTTTTAGTAAAAAAAAAAAGAATTTAATTAGTCGTTTACATAATTAGCACTGAAACACATAGTATTGAAATTAAAATTAGATATATTCAAATATATATGCTTTTAAAACGTATTCACAAACATATGGTCTTGATCATTGTTAATTTATGGATATTTATCTAAACATGTTCATATACATTTTACTTTCAGTTGAGCTAAAACCTGTTTAGAATTATGAAATTGTGTCAACAGGTAAACAAAATTCATTTTTAAAGTCATTTCGATGAGTGGAGCTACGTTTTGCTCGAGCTTAATTTGGCCAATGAATAATTGATCCAATCAACAATCAAAATAAGGAAGATGTTTAGGCCAATAGGTAAACTCCCACTTGCAACTAACAGTTTGCCAACTAATGCATGAAAGTGCATTCGGAGAGTTTAAAGTGTGTGTGTATGGGTGAGTGTGTGCTGTAAAATGCTATTGACCGCATTTAACACTCGAATCGGTGTGGATTTAAAGTTACCGAATAGTAAATGAGTTAAAGATGAAGACGACGACACGATGTCGACAAACGGTAAGTGGGTCAATGTCAGCACTTGAAAAACTGCCAAATTAACACACAAAGCGCGTGTGTGTGTATATGACTTAACCAGACGATGGCCCAGAGAAACGTCATAGACTCTGAAGCAGCAGCAGCGGCAACAGCATCTGAAAACTGAAACCAGTTTTGTAGACAAGACACAAACCACAAATGAACAAAAGAGCGTGTGATGTGGCGTTGCCAGACTTTGGAAATTGGTAACAATAAATATGAATGAAACAGCTTACACAAAACTTTGACCATGAAATCATCGAAGCGGCTGCCTTGAGGTGGGTGTTTGTTTTGGCCATTTGGCTAGATATTTCACACCACTTACAAAACTGACAGATGGACTGACGCACTGACAGACAGAGACGCAAATCTGTGAAAATACGTTAACACACGCACACACACAGCCGAGACGTTGTCGCGAGTTTTACCCCAACAACTTTAGGCCAGAAACAAACAGACAGAGAAACCAAAAAAAAAAAAATAGAAGAAAATATAAAATGGGAACGAACAACTGTCAGCGACGCGTTAGTGTGAACAAGAAGATTTAGCACAAAATATTTCGTCCCGACTCACCCAACTTGAGCTCTCTCAGCTGTCAGCCAAGCCCTCGGCGAAGATTTTTACTGTTGCCATATAAAGAAAAAAAAGGAGACGCGACAGAAAGAAAAAGAGAGAAACTGTGAAATCCCTAAGCTCAAAAGTTTTTAGGCACTTTCATAGGCGCGGCTCAGCTGGCCGTCCGTCCTTTCGTCTGATTGTCTGACTGTCTGTCCGTGTCTGCTGATGGCATTTGGTTTGCTGTACTTATTTGTTCTTTTTGTGGTAAGTGGAGTGGGATTGTGATTCGCCTTTGGCCAAAACCGGATACATCAGCAACGCCAACTCTGACGGCCTAGCTTGCTTTATTTGGAATGAATTATATTGTTTTTATATATTTCACTGATAGCCACGAGCACACAGACATACTCCCACCCACACACCGATCAGAAATCACAACACATACAGCTATATATGATATATATATTGAAGGAACAAAGACAGCTTCAGCTGTCTGCTAAAGTTTCGTTCTGTGGTCTGCTAACACTCACACATAAATCACGCAGTTCCACGCATAAATAAAGTGCACAGAAATTACGCGGTTTCTCTCAACAGCTATGAATAGCTGCAAATTTATGGCTATTGCGCTCAGTGTACTTGATTTGCTCGATTGAAAGGTCGGGCCGTGGTTTTAATTGAATAACGACAATCAGTTAGCGATGACCCAATAAAAACGCCCGCCATCATCCTGCAAACGAAGGACATAAATTCCATTGGCTAATAAGTGGCAGGCGTTGAAAATAAAACAAAAAATAAATAAAAATTGAAATGCTGTAGTAGACAATGCTTGACGAAAGAATGGCCTTCAAAGTGGATTAAAATGTTCTGAGAGAGCTCAATTAATAAAAGATTTTAAAGGACATCCACAAATTTGAAGAATACATATTTAAGTTAATAAATATATAATAGTTAAGTAAAATCTCTGCAAAAGAGTAATTGTTAATAGCTTGAAAATAATTCAATTGTCAATTTATACATTTATGCTTAAGTTTCCTAATTCAGTCAACCAAATTATTTGTCAAATGCAAAACAAAAACTGTAAAAATGAAACGAAAAATTTTTGTTTTATCTGTGGAAGAGCAGGATAGGCTCAGGGTAAATTTGGTAAATGTATTTATTATTTTGATTGAATTCAGAATATATATGATGAAAATCCGCTTAATTCAGAAATATTCTAAAATCCTTTATATTTTTTTGTATTTGAGATTAACCAGCTTAATATTTGTATCTAAAATTTGCACTACATATTGATATTTTATCAGCTAAACCATTTATAATGCATATAAAAATGATTATTATTTTTGCTATCCAAATATAGTGTTAGGCGATTCATGTCAATAAAAATATTAAATCGACATGAAATTTGATTTCAAATTGAATTCCATTTGAGTTGCCTCAATTATATATGTAATTAAGCCATGATTGCGCAAGCCGAGTATCATGCAACAAAGGCAATTTAAGGTACGTTTTAATATACGTAATTATAGAGCCCGAGAAAATGATAGCGCTTTATTAAAATGCCTGGAAAACTGCTTGAGATATTACAAATATTTAATACAAATAGATTTGTACGAGAGTAAGAGCAAATTTCAACATTAAAAAGAGACTTTTAATTTACGTTATTGCCATACCGCTTAATATTCGCTTAATAGCCCAACAGAAACTGACCACAAAATATGACTACATCAGTGGATTCTGTCCCAGCAGCTGTTCAAGTCAAATATTATGGCAAAAGACGCTTTTCCACACCTTAAGCTGAGTTCATACATAGTCATGATGCTTTTTACAGTATTATATGCGGGAGATATGACTGACGTCATGTGTTTTCCTCAAATACCTAAATGAATGTTCAAGCATTGCATTTGGCTTTTTGATTTTCGGCTTATTGATTCATGCACTCAACTATCTTTTAACCACAAACTGTAGGACCATTGATTGCCGACAAATTTCTTTTAGACATGATTTGTACATTGATATTGCGCAGTGAAATTGTGATGAAACTCAAAGGATACAGCTGCATTCAATCTTAGTAATTAAATTTAAATTTTCTGGGATTTTCTGAAAATAAAGGACAAAGATAAAGATAATTTCTTGAAATGTCATAATGAAAAATATGCAGATGACGAACAAAGCACGGGCAAGGCAAAGCAAATTGCTCTCTGGTAAAATAAAATTAAAATATATTTAGTACAGGAATTTAAGCCCAAAAACGATCTATCCTTGACTTTTGAACCTGGCTTTCAATATTAGCTAAAGTTCATACTGCGGCAGTTTCTTTGCTTGCCACCAGGCTTAATATAGTAGTGCACATAGTTTTTGTACTAGTCAGCATGAGGAGAAATATATGCACATGTAGTGCGGTTAAAATTGCAGCATCCATTAACTTGATAAAGAACTGAAATTTGTGCATATCAAAAGCACAACTAAAACTTTGCTATTATTTAGCATTGCACTTGCTCTTGGGTAAACTGAACTAGCACTGCAAAATATGGGTGAAAAACATGCTGGCCAGGTAATGCTACTGCATGGCCATGGCCAACATCAACAACAACGGCAACAACAATGGCCTGACGGAGTCGCCATTATTTTGACATACGACAGAGCTGAGACTCGGCCGGAACAATGGAAAACACGAGCGCTGAACCATTTTACACGCAGCGAAAAGGACGCAGCGTCCGTGGACTAGGACCCAGGCCTGTTGATGTTGGGCTGGTCCAGGGTCTACGGCATTACAATGCTCAAAACACAAACACACATACACACACAGAGAGAGGTAACATGGAGCCGCAACATGAAGAAACATAATGGCTGCTTACAATTTGTGAACGAGCATAATGCGAACATTACATCCGCGCCATTGTTTCTTGCCCCCTGCACCTTCGTCCTTCGAGGCTCACTGAGTACCCATGGGGCGTTGTTGAGGCAGGCAAACGGTTGGCAGGGTGTCTAAATTAAATTAAAGCTGTTTAGGTGTAATTGGTCGTTGAGAGGGGTCACAGCCATGGGAAAGGCTGCGTGCCTCGAGTGGAGCTTTTGTCCGACAAGGAGAATTGACCCTTTTTTGGCCAACCCATGTTGGGGTCTATATATTGCAGAAACCATGAAAATGGCCAATTAATGGTGCATGAGTCAGGCCAAATTGAGCGCACACACACAATAAACAGCCCATACAGAGATTATGAAGCGCCCAACTCGGAGACCTAAGATTTCAACACTTATAAAATGCATTCACATATATATTTTATGGTAAATACATATATATATATATATATAATCCGCCTATTAATTGACATTGAATTGTTATTAAATTGTTAAGGTTGGCCGCCTTTAATTATTTCACTATTTGAGCAGTCTTAATATTGGCATGAGTATTACGTGCTGTCATTAATTATCATTCCCGCCCTTATATTTGCTCATGAGTGCACCAGACTTCAGTCAGCTCTCGATTAAAGTAAGCGCAAGCGTACATAAGTATTTAACTTAGTAATCACTCTTACTGCACAAGTTGTGTTATAAAGTGTCATTATTAGAGACTTGTTTGCCTTGTGTAGCAGACAATCAGCCAAGAGCTAATGGTACTAAAGTTTGCCCTAACAAATTATGGGGTATTAAATACACACATGCT